TCTGAAAAACTAATAGGCATTACTTACTAATCAACTAGTAACGTTAATTGGACCGATGGAGGTATTAGTCCAACACAAACTAAAGGCCGTGTTTGATAAAGAGAGAGTTTGAGAGTTTTTTTAGTATGAATTAGTTGTTTAACCTAGTAAGCCGATTATGATTTTTTTGTGTGACCAAAAGGTAGTAAGGTACGGGTTCAAAATGAAAAGGGAAGGTCTGCTCCTTAAGTCCTTATATACCCTTGAGGTGGGACCCTTTCCTGGACCCTCACCTTGTGGTGACGCCAATGTGCACCGGGATGCAAATTTTAGTGAATAACCTGCCAAATTAGCTAGAGTACCTAAACAATTCATTTTAAAAACAGTTGAATTTTGAAAAAGGTCTTCCCATTATTACCTTGTTTCCCTTAAACAAATGTCAAGAGTGTTTTCCATTGCATTTAGAAAGCAATTTTGAGCTCTGTGCCTTTGAAAATAGTGCTATTACGTTGATGCTAGCTTCAAATTAACTTTAGGTACCTTAAAGCAAAAAGTTGTAAGCAAGGGGTGATAGGGACCTGGACTTGTGGCGAGAGAATCAATTGAAATAATATTGAATATTCTAAGATGTGAAAAAGGGAGGTGGGCTGGGCCAAGTAGTTAGATTGAGGGGAAGCCTCATTGGAAAAAAATAAATAGAAGGAATAGAAAAGGGAGAGGAGCAGGCTGGGATTTGGGAAGAATTGGGATCTGGGATAGATAGAATTGGCATCCCTTGTATTCCTATTGTTTTCTACAATATCAACGATATTTCTACTCCAAACTTTCTGTGTACCTATCCAGGGGATGGATACATAAAACTGCTTCCACATTTTTCTATAATATTATACCTAAATAATAATATTCATCATGGGTCATTCGGAAACAGTCTCTCTCTGCCCGGTAAGGATGCGTACATCCAACCTCTCCTTACTTACCGTAGGTGGAAGCCTTTGCGGCAATGGGATAGTATCGTTGTTGTATTGCACCTAAATAATACACCAAAATTTACTTCCAAACACTCCAACTTCAACTTATTTATTAAATCACTTATATTTTTCAAACACAAGCTAATACAAACACTGCTATTGTCGTTTTTGGAAAAGCTCGAAGCTTTTAAGCCTAGTTATGTCAGTTACGCATTCAAACAACCAATCTGAATTTGTTAATATAATCCGTTAACCATTTTTGCCATCATTTCCAATGGAGCCAAAGACTCGCTATTTTTTGGCTTGAGGATAAGATGGAATAAAGCAAAATGGCTCAGTAAACTGTCTGAGCTTTTTTGTTGTAAAGAAACAGTCAGTCCATGCAATTTTCGATTAGATTTTCATCATGGGTCATCCGGAAACAGTCTCTCTGTGCTTTAGTACAGAGGTAAGGTTGCGTACATCCGACCCTTGTACCCCACCGTAGGTAGGAGCCTTTGTGGCACTGGGATAATGTTGTTGTTGTTGTAACCAGTTAACCATTTACGCAAACAACTATTTGTCAAACATGGCCTCCCAATAACCTCAATTAGTTAAAAAAAATGAAAAACAATTACCAAATCGATATATATCAGCAGGAAGTGGCTTAGATGACTTGGTTAGAGTATAGAGAACTCCAAGCACAACTACAGTTGTAATACTGCAGAAGTAAATAAGAAAAATACATTATAAGGGTCTAAATAGTAATTCAACCCTTAATGAGTTAATAAAACTGACAATGAAAGAAGACAGTTTGCAAAAACAACTGAACATACGCTTGATCCAAAAACAAGATTTCTGACTTCTCATCCAAGCTTAAGTCTTCGGTTTGAATTCCATAATATGTTATAGCTGTGGTCTCTATTAGCCCTGTCAGAACAAAACTGACTGAGAATCAATTAGCCTTTCCTAAAAATGAATGGCACATTAGGAAGTAATCAATTTTAGCTAAGAGACGATAAAATATACTCTTAATGTGATTAAAAGATAGCAACGGAGCAGACTTTGGTTAAGGTGGGATCAAATAATTACCTTAGTCCACAGGCAAGTGTAGAAAGTGAAACAGTTTGCCAATTCCATGGAACCTCCCACCTTCTTAAGATTGGCCACTTAGGCCCACTTCCCTGCAAAAAAGCAATCAACTTAGGATATTTCAAACAATAATAGTATTGATGTGCTCCAGATTTATTTTTTGTTTATGTCAATTCTTTATAGTTGGTATTTATGAAAACTGTACTCTCTTGAGTGTATTAAGTATCCTACATTATGTACAATAGGATCATTAATATATATCTTCAGAATTGTAATTATCTTTCTTTTATTGATTGTTATATTATGTGTGTACACATACCTATGTCTATATATGTAAATATATATACGCAAACATATTACATAGAGTCATAGATACATCATACATATACAAACCCACACACACAATCATATGTGTGTGTTAGCCGGTGTATATATAAATTCTCTTTTAACAAAAATCCTCCAAATATTCAAAATTGGAAAAATCATGCCAAGCCTCAAAATTGATAATCAATGACAATGCAAGAAACACATAAAATGCAAGAAGTAAACATTCTCATAAACAATATGAAAAATGAAACTATGTTGCAAACTTGCAACACTGCGTATGTAATAGGATTAAGATAAAGGACAAAGATTGAAGCTTTATCTTACTTTGTTGTCGGGTTGGTTTCCAGAAGTGTGAAGACACAGAGTTTTAGTGAAGCGGCGATTAAAGAATTGTGCCGGCCGGCGAAGAGAGATCCACTGTGGCTTTTGAGAAAGACGTTTGGAGAGGTACAGATTTGGAGAGAGTGGGAGAGGAAGAGGGTATGGTTGAGAAAGACATCCGCATATCAGGGTGGCAGCCATTGCTGGATTTTCTTCAGGGGAAGGGTGGGTTGATGGAGAAGATAAGGTAGCAAACTAGCAAGCAAATGGAAGATGAAAGATCATTAGGACAACAACAATGGTTGTTAGAGAGTGTTTGCAATCACTTAAAAAAACACTTTTCAGCTTTTGACTTAAAAAAACACTTATTTATCAAACATTACCAATTTTTACTTTTTATCGGCTTGCGTGTGAAAAGTGATTTTCCTCTTTCTATTACACAAAAAGCACTTATTTTACCAAACAGTATCAACTTTATTTTTCAAAATCACTTTTTTCTCAAACACTATCAACTTTTTCTACTAATCATTTTTTCCTTACATCTCCAAAAGTGCTTTTTTTTAAGCAGAAGCAGTTGCAAACACTCCCTTAGTCGTGAGGCTATTCACCTCCACCCATCACTACACTCAAATATTTTAAGAGTAAATATTGTTAGGATATTGTTAGGGTATAAGGGTCAAGAAAAAGTGTTGTTTCTTGATGCTCAAAGTTATACTTTCTTGTATTTTTGACTTTATTAAAGTTTTACCGCATGTATACTTTCTTGTACTTTACTGTTTTCGTATTAAGGCACAATGTTATTCCTCCTTATTTTAGGTTTCAGCGATTCTTTTCCTCTTGTTACTTTCCCTCTCATTTGTAGCTTGAAATTTTTGCTCTAAGTGGGACTCTTTTAATTGTTAAACTCCAGCATAGGACCGATACTTAATATATTCCTTTTTAGGACTGTCTGAGTCCTATTTTAATTTCGTGTGTTTGTCAAATGTCCATTATACCCTTGTTTAATAAATCATTAATGATAGTTTCCGTCGTCATTCGTTTAACTACCTTCCTGACCGTTTATTTCGTTTTCGTTTTTGGAATGTATTTCTGAACTTTCCTTCATTCTCTCTTCTCCTTCGCGATGGTGGATTCTTTCTGTTTTGGTTTTTGTTCTTTGCCGATCGTGGTTGTTCATCGATTTTGAGAGCTTACAATCCGACATGAGTTCAATTGGACCTCAAATTTCCAGGTATGTAATTAGATTCTTAATCTGTAATTATTTACGCGTAATTCAATCGTTAATTTGTAATTGTTCATGTATTACGTTTAATTTTTGTTATTGCTTTTTCGATGTAATCAACACCTTATTTGTAGTCTTTTACTTTGAATTTGACAAATTCATCTGTGTTTTGATTTGTGCTTCATTATTGTTCCGTTCTTTTGTCTTTGCCATTGTTTTGATGTGGTTTTGTGTTTGTGAATTGGAATGTCCACGGAATTAGGTTTTATGTTTGATTAGGTTTACTTATTGCCATATTTTGATTGTTTTTATGATTCGTTGTTATTTTTATATATTGACTGCCATGTTTTCTCTGCTTTTGCTTACTTTTCTGTTTTGGTTTATATGTGTATTTTTAGTTTGATGGATGCTGCTGTATTTGTTATGCTGAAGTTGGATGGTAGCTGGTCTTCTGACTTTACATTTAATCATACTGATACGTATGCTATTCATGTCCGCTCTCTTGCAACATATGATTCTTTTATTGCAATGTTTACGGAGATGCTTCTTCAGTATAGACCTCATCATAAATTCAAACTTTCCTATTTTGTTGAAGGTTCCCCTCAGCCTGTTGAAATTTATAATGAGTCCAGTTTCAGATTTTACCTTGACCTTAAGTTGATAGAAACTGATCCTTATAAGTTTCCTTTATGTGTGGAGTTTTTTCCTTCAAATACTCTTACCAGTCATTCTGAGGAACAACATAATCCATGTTATCAGTCATATATTTCTTCTGGTCAGTCTTCTTCCAACATTATTTGTCAAGGAACTACTACTGATAAACACTGTGACTTTGATTTTGGCGATGGTGTTCCTTCTCAGTCTTTGTAATCACATAGTGATTTAATAACTTCAATGGTCAATGGAAGCACCTCACATTCAGAAGACAGTGATACCTTTTCAGATGAAAGTCTCCCACCATCTCCTAAATCAGATTATAGTTTGCACAATCTGGAAGTTCTCACACATCAACATCCAACTTGCATTGCTGTATATGCTATATACAAGAATAAGCGTGAGCTGATTTATCATTTGAAGATGTTTGCCATCAGTAACGGCTTTCAATACAGAACCAAGACTTCCAAACAAAACTTTGCATGTTATTTGTTTAGATCCGGATTGTGATTGGGTTGTTCGTGCTGTCAAATTGAAAGGTGTTGAGATGTTTCAGATCCGCAGGTGATTTGACATATCTACTCTTCTTTTATATTTATGCTTGTGCTTTTTCTTTTTAAGTTCACATGTGCATTACTAGGTTTTTAATCTTTTCAGTTCTGTATTCAGTTTGTTTGTTCTGTGAAATGCCATTGTCATGGCATTTTGTGTTTATGTACTTGTTTTTTAATTGCATATCTACCTCTTAGCTTTTATGATCTGTACATTTTTATCTCCAGGTATGATCCAGAACATGTTTGCTCTGTTGATTATAGACAGGGCAAACACAGGCAAGCAACATATGATGTCATTGCAAATATGGTTGCACATAAATTTTTGGATGCTTCTATAAACCCGTATACACCTAAACAACTCATCGCTGATATGAGCATGGATTATGGTATTTCAATGTCATATAAGAAGTCATGGAAAGCTCGAAAGAAAGCGATGGAAATGCAATTTGGTTCTGATTCTGAGTCTTACCAGATGCTCCCTTCAATTGCTTACATGCTAAATAAGACAAATCCAAGATCTGTTGTTAATCTTGTTACAAGTGCTGATGATGCTTTTCAGTATTTTTTCATGTCACTTGGTCCTTGGAGAGATGCGTGGCAGTATTGTAGGCCCATGCTTATTTTGGATGGATCATTCATGAAATCATATTACAAAGGCACCTTGTTGACAGCTTGTGCTCAGGACGCGAATAATCAAATTGTTCCTATAGCTTTTTGTATATGTGAGTCTGAAAGTAAAGCAACTTGGCGGTGGTTCTTATCCAAGGTTCGTTCATGTATTGAACATCGTTCTGACATGTATATCATATCTGATAGGCATAAAGGGATTCTTAGTGCTGTTCGTAAAATATTTCCACATTCTGGCCATGGATTTTGTGTTGAACACTTACGCCGCAATATGACATCGAAATTCAGAGGCTCTGCAAAAGATTTGGGTTGGAAATTTAAAGCTGCATATTTGGCTTCAATTGTGAAAGAGTTTGAGTATTACATGTCTCTGTTAGATACTCAAGATGCCAGAATACGCCCGTGGTTAGAAAAAGTTGGTATTGAAAAATGGGCTAAATGTATGTCTGGTTTCAATAGATTTAATGTGATGACCTCAAACTGTGCTGAATCTTTAAATAGTGTGAATGCTTGTGCAAGACAGTACTGTGTTTCCAAACTCATCAATTTTTTGCGTGAAAGAATGCAAGAATGGTTTAAAGCAAGGAGGGAAATAGCTGAATCTACATGTACAAAGCTCTCTGAAAAATATGAAAAGCTTCCGGTTTCCTTACAATTTGAATCAAGTCGTATGAAGGTGTGCTTTAGTTGTATTAAAAGTACATGTTAATGCATTCTGTGCTTTATTAGTTTTTGGCATTTAAAATTGCAGACTGCCAAAGTTTTATACTAACTACCATTACTTTGCTCTTTTATATCTATGTTGTTATATTCAGCTTTCATGATCCTTGTTTTCTTACTTGTGCTCTTACATTTGATTTTAGGTGAATGCATCTTGTGAATATGAGTTTGAGGTCATTGATAGGAAATGTAGACGCTTTGTGGTCAACCTTAATTCAAGAACATGCACTTGTGGGCAGTTTCAATTAAATCGTTTTGTGTGTGTTCATGCTGGGGCTGCAATTGGTTCACGCCCTGGTCTATCCTGTTATAGTTACATATCCTCTTACTACACAAGAGATCACTTGTTGGCAACTTGGAGTGGTATAATGCACCCAATTGGAGATCCTGAAGATTGGGTCATTCCTTCTGATGTTTCAAGTACTATTTGCAAGCCTCCTACCTGTTTGAAGCGCCCACCAGGGCGACCCAAAAGGTCCAGAATCCCATCAATTGGAGAACATGTTGGTTCCAAATGTCGAAAGTGTTCTCGCTGCAAAGTTTTTGGCCACAATAAGAAGACTTGCCGTAATGCTCTCTCAGTTGATAAAAATTGACTTCCTTTACATAGTTTTCAGAGTCCTTTACTTTTTATTATCGCCAGAATAAGAAGAGATGTTATTGGAATGTTACTTTCTATAATAATAAGACTTGATGTACTCATTTTACAGTTTATAATCTCAGTTTTAATTTTCATTATAGATTGTTTGTGCAGTTATATTCTTGGCATAATTAGTTCCTTTAAATGCAGTTATACTTGATAAGATTCCATTTTGTAAATGGATGAAACATATAATGAGTTATTTGTTGACTCTTTACAATGACTATATTCCTAGTAAATGTTAGTTTTTATCATAACATCTGTAATGGTGTGATTTTAGCTGACCATGAATTTTGGCAATTTATTTCTAGGGAAAAAAATACATTCACTACTAGAAAAATAGCTATTTGCTGCGGTCATTTTTAGCTTTTTGCTGCGGTTCTGAACCGCAGCAATTGGCGGGGCAGCAAATAGTAGGAATATGTATTTGATGCGGTTCCTAACCGCAGCAAATAGCTACTTAAAAAAACACGAATTTTCACTTATTGCTGCGGTTCCGAACCGCAGCAAATAGAATTAATTTTTATTTATTTTTTATTTTTTTAAGCATTTTTTTTTTAATTTCAGTAGTTCTTAATCGCACTATAAACATTTTTCAAAGTTGCTATATTATTTGTGTTTTATGTTACTTACCGAATTCACAAAGATGCGTTCCAACCAAAACATATACGATTTATAAAAGATGAAATATTCATATCTTCTACATCAATATCTCACAGCATAAATCCAAATCGCAATTCTAAAAGAATTAAATTATACTTCGTACATCACCAAAATTCAAATGCATACAATACAAATTATTGTCTTTTTTAAGTTTATCAAAACTAATTATCATTAAAAAAAAGTTTATCAAAACTAATAGTTTACAATAAATTATCACACATTAATCATCATTACATTGTGAGTCTCAAATGCATACTTCATTACTCGACAAACCTGAAATATTACGAAGCACACAATTAGAGAAATAGATACTCCGTATGTATTAAAAATTAAACTAGTGTGGTGTTCACAATATTAATAAATCTTATGAAAATGGGGTATAAGCCAAAATATAATAAAAAAAATGGGCTCCACTTAAAAACGGTCTCGTTTAATTTGACAAAACAAAACATCAAGCAAAAGCTCCATCTTATGTAAAACGAGCATGAGCCAGAAAAAACTCATCAAACACAGTTTCCTGTCAAATAATAAAATGAATCACTCGGTGTTTAAAAGATTTTTATTTTAAAGGAAGAAAAAAGATGGGGATAAACTGAAGTCAAACAAGAATCTGAATAAGAATACACGTAGTACAAGATTGTGGAAGTAGAGATCATACATTAACATTCTTAAACTTGTTTGTGGGATTTTCAAGTACATAGATTCTGCAATCAGCACCATAGGATCTTTCTGGCAGTTCTGCAGTAAGTAATAATTGAACTTAAGTATCACTAGAAACCACTTGTCTAGATATTCAAAAGCCAATAACATGTATTGCCTGAGGCAAATGATTTGATCCATGTGTAAATGCAGGACAACAATCCCAAATTTGTTACCAATACCAAGATTAGGATCCAGATATTTCATAAACGGGCGAGCATCACCACGATTCTGAAATACTAATAAAGCATAAGAGATAACAAAATAGGAAGTTGGAAAACACAACAAAATAATTAACGGAAAAACATAACACATTTTGATCAATAAACTTACCTGAAAAGGCAAAAATGTCAATGAAACAAGGTATATATGACAACCATTCGAAGAACTAGACGCCAGAGGAAATGCCTATACCTATTAGGATGACCATAAATCCACAAGGACAAAACATTAAAAAAAAACTACTCCGTATAAGCTAAGAGAAAGTATGTTACCTCTTCACATGGATGTTCAAAAGTTTTGCACTTTGACATTGCCCTTCTGCATCTTGCTCAACAAGCTGAGTAAAATAAAAACTCAAAATGAAGAACTTGTTAAAGTACAACTATGTATTACAACAACACTTGTCAAACTGTCCTAAATAAGCTCTAATCTGCAGAGGAAAATCCAGCAACAAAATAATCAATAACAAATCAGATTAAGAAAGTTCAATGCATTTTCTAAAATTGTGATCATATAAAGAACACGAAAGTTAATATAGCAAGCATATAAGTTGAAAACATCAGAAATGCAGCAAGAACAGGATAAGAAATAAGTAATAAAGAACTTCAAGGCATAACATCTAACCAGAATAATGTATTAATGTAATTATTTAGTAATACTAAATTCATTTCATATTAAATGCTTTTGAATTATATCTAAAAAGAGAACGTACTAAACCTAAGTGATGGTTGTCGTATATTAATAGATATATCAACGGAGATAATAAAAAGCAACTAAAATCTAATCAACAAAGCATAAGAGCATAGTAGATAAAATGATAAATAACTTGTCCTGAAAAAAGGAGAATAAGTATTGGAGGTGGAAACTTTGCTGGGCGGTGGCGTGAGGCGGCTTTGCTCCAAGTAGATTGTGTAAATTTTTCTATCAATGTGCTTTTATTAGATTCTTGTTGATTTATCCTTCCTCACCTTCCTGTTATTATGAACATTATATTCATTTTTTCAAAAACAAGCAAGTTCATATGATTATTTTAGTCTAGCTAAAAGGACTACATTTTGAGTTCCACAGACCCAAGAAAAATAGGACATCTCTGGAGACAACATAACTTGAATTAAAAAGTAGAATGAATGAAAAATAAATAAATAAATGGTAAGAACATGTTTCAATTTGCACACAAAGCATACCAGCCAGCCATCAAAGCCTACAGCAACAACAAGCTCAGTTAGTCTCCCTGCATACATGAAAGTTGATTCCTTTGTTGAGACTAGTTTTTTAGCAAGATTTCTCCCTTCTTCCCACTCCATTATAACTGTCCCTAGAACCTTATTTGAAATTGAGTGGAAAATAAAACTAAAAATTAGTGTAAGAAGCAAAGATAATACCTTGATAGCTGAATTGTTGCTGGACACTCTTGAACACCCTTCAAGTTTAGGCAACACAGTAATGTACGTCACCTCAAAGCCGCATCATCCTGGATAGTTCAGCTTATATAGGCACTTCTTTCAGTTTAGCTTGTACAATCTATTGAGCTTTCCCGTACTCTGCAAAACCACAAATATAACAAAGAAATACTACAAATATACATAAAAATAAATAGCTTACCTTGAAGTGACAGGAGAAGAAATGTCAGAGGCAGCGACGTTGCTAGGCGCTGGCGTTGTTCGGCGCTGCTAGGTCGTGGCGTTATTCACCGCTGTTAAGCGGCGATGCAGGGCGAAGGCGCTGCTTAGACAGAGGCGCAAGGCGGCGGATGAATGGCTTAGGCGCTGCTTAGACGGAGGCCCAAGCTGCTGGAAGGTTGAAGAGTTTGGGCGGCGTTCGATGAAATGAAGAAGGTGAGTTCTACATCGATTAACCTAATTGTGGAACCTCATTGCTTGAAGGGGTTTGACCGATAGAGGGGGAGCTGAAATTTGAAGGGGGTTATGTGCTGCGGTTGTAGTAAGACCGCAGCAAATATGGGAACAATTTGAAATATTTGATACGGTTCTCCCTTACCCGTAGCAAACAGGTAAACAAAAAAATTAAATTTCGGAATATTATAAGTATTTGCTGCGGTTCTACTTTGACCGCAGCAAAAACTTTAAATTTTCCAACTATTTGCTGCGGTCGTTGATGAACCGCAGCAAATACTTATAGATTTTGACTATTTGCTGCGGTTTAACTAAGAACCGCAGCAATTGGGTAGCAGCAAATAACGAAAATTCTAGTAGTGATTATGGCACTTTGTGATCTGTAGTGCCACTTTTTTGTTCACGTTTTTGTTTTGTTTAATGAGTACATACTACAACCTTTCAATTGTGTAATTTCAATATGTGATTTCTTTTGTAACTTTCCTTTTATCTTCTTTTTTATTTAGCTTTTTATGATTTGCATTATTTTACACTAACTTCTTACTTTTTATATATCTCAATTAAAAATATATCTTTTAAAACACTTTTTTTGTTAATACATATGTTTATGTGTACCAGTTTGTATACTTATATCATTCAGCATCATCTCTGTCATTTGAGAATAACCCAAGAATAATGGCATTTCATTTTCATAACTTCCACTGGTATGACAGTATTTCATAATGCAAAACAAAAATTACCAAACAAACTTAAAACCACAAACCACAGTCATATCATATAAGCAGTATCCAAAGCAAAACAAAAGCACAGAATCCAAGTTCACAGAAATTCAGGTGTTTTTGGAACTTCTCTTAAAGCAAAACAAACTTATTACATATTAAAACCATTTGTTCAAGACATTAGTGGCATTAAAACTTTGGCATTAAAACTCCATTTATCATCAACACTTCACTTCAATCCTTGATAAACTTTGGCAGGTGCATTCCTTTTGCTTCTTCCAATCTCCTTTCACTGTATAAAACCAACTCTGTTGCCATTTTTTGCCTGTACATAGGCATTAGGTCTGGATCGATGCACTCAAAAGTCATTTCTATTATCAGAAACCCAGCAATCTTTAGGACATACATTCCATAGTCGAACCTGTAATCAAATGAAAACATTCATTAAATTAGCCTTAATTACATCTTTAATAATGTACATATACCTTTTCATTTAAAATTCACCATTAGCTTTGTTGACAACTTTTTATTTACTTACGCATTATTTTGTTGTGGGCAGTTCTCTTCAAGTTCAATTTCTAGTGGCCTCTCTCCCATTGGCTCTTCTCCCTTGATTTCATACACTTTTAGGCAGTCCATGATTTTGGGAAGCAAAAACTTGATGCTTGGTATGAACGGTCTGATATCTCTCAATGAATACCCCGTTATGGAAATGGAGTTGTAGAGTTTCACCTTTCTCTTATTGATGTCCAAAACTAATAACACCCAATGTTTACCAACATTTAATGGGAAGTACACAAATTCAGCATTTGTCCAATGCAGTGAAAATTTTGATGTAGTCCCCAAGACATCATGCATAATGAGATCATTCTCTGCTGCACTCTGAACAGTTGCTTTGTTCTTTCCTATGTCCTCATGTAGCGTCCTCAGCATTGTAATAAAAAAGGGCCCAGTTGTGCTATATTGTTGTTTGAGTTTGTAATGAACTCTTTTCACTGCCAAATAGTGCATTCCCACGTCCATATGCTGTATTTTATATATAAAAAAATTGTATAAGCAATATAGTTTTTTGATAATTATATCCTTGTATACACACATTAATGGCAATAATAATTAAGATTGTATTAATTTTGTAATATAGATTTGATGTGACATACCGTGTCTTGCAGCCACTGATCTGGGAAGTAAAGATTGTATAGCCATGTCTTGGACTCAATTTTTATCGTGTCCAGCAACATTGGAATTCCATGCAATCTTTCCTCATCCTTCTTGTACTTTATGTTTTCACCCCCCCCCCCCTTTTTTTTCTTTAGCAGACCAATACTTAGAAAGTCACCAATTCTCTTCATTTCCTTCTCAGGTGGTGCTTCAGTTGGGTCTTCAGAGAATGGCCCATATACTGAGATTTGTAGTGGTAAAAATATGTCATGATTCCTTTTCATTGTTCTTTCTTTCTCCTCTTTACTTCAACAGTATGTTCTGATGGTGTGTGCCTCGCTGGTAGGGCTGCACAAGAATAACCCGAACCCGCATAACCCGCCAGACCCAACCCTACCCGACCCTATTTAATCGGGTATTTGATTTTTAAAAATATTCATGGGTTAAATATGTTTGAACCCACACCTAATGGGTAGGGTTGCGGAATTAAAATCTCAAACCCGATAGTACCCGACCCGGCCGAAGTTCATTTTACTATTATTATGCTACAACGTTTTCTTGGATAATTTCAATTTAAGACCAATGTGCTCTATATAGGACTTTATGATATTAGAATTATAATTAAACATTTAACATTTTGACTAGGTGATTATTATATATTTACGTTTCCTTCTAAATGAACTTCCTTTACGGAAGGATGTTTTAATTAACTATTACCTAATGTTTTTGCTTATAAAAGATACGAGTACTTGTATTTGTTTGTGTGTTTTGGAAACAAGTTAATCGAGTTTTAAATTGGTTACATTAATTTCCCACATGAAAAATGCAATCCAAAGTGATTTTTTTCCCCAATACCCGACCCTACCCGACCCGTTCATGCATGGTTTACCAACTTATTTTGCGTACCGCGGGTTGGTTAATAGCCAACCCGAACAAATCGGGTAGGCCCAAAAAATATAGCGAACCCGACCCAACCCGCCCGATGTGCAGCCCTACTCGCTGGTGATCTTGGACATCTCTTCTCTCTCACATGTTTACATTGAACATATTATTTAATTCTATAATATTAAACCAACTTGATTTTAACGCATTATATTTATTTCTTTCTTACCACATTAGCCACAGGAATGATTTGTTTGGTTTTTTCTGAAGTCTTTCTCTGTAATGCCACTTTTTCAACTTCATCCAAATGTTTGCAGAGCTCATTTTCAAACTGTGTGTCTTCTGGCATTATTTTTTCTTAATCTGTACTTTGTAATGCCACTTCCTCAACCTCTTCAACATTTTTACACACTTCCTTCACAAATTGACTATCTTCTTGAGAGCCCATGCCCCACATATCTGCATCTTGTTCCTTCTCTGTGTTCATTTCATTTTTTTCTCTTTCCTCTTTGCCCTCAGTACTTCCTTCATTCTCTTTTGGTCTTCCTTCAACTTCTGGCTGAGTTTGAAATGAAAATATATCAAAGTTAGGCATATCATCTTGCTGCACAATAGGCTTCCCCTTCTCAACATGTTGTCTTCCATTTGTGTCCTCTGATGCATCTCCTTCCCTATTTTCTTCTTGCACCACAATATCATCTGCCTCCTCTGCATTTAATTCTTCAGTAATGCTCTTATCTCTCTCCCTATTCTGTTCTTCCTCCACAACCCCTTCTGGCTGCTCAACATCTTTTCCTCCATTTGTGTTGTTTCCTTTCTGGTTTTTCTCTTGCATTCCTGCTCCACTTAAGTCATCATCCTCATCCTCATGATTTTCATCTCCTTTCTGCATTTCATTATCCTCATCAACATTTTCTTTGTCCTCTTCTACAGTTTCTTCTTGTCCTGGCATTCCTCCTTCATTCCTATTCATTTGATGCCTTGTCAAATCTCTCACAAAGCGAAGAATTTTGTTTAGTACCACCTCTTGCTTAACTTGTCTTCGCTTGATTTCTTTGACATCTGCCATTATTTTGGCAGTTCTTGTTGTTTGCTTCCTGATTTTCTTCATTAAAATTTTTGCTTCTTTGGTACATAAACCAACATTTATCTTCCCTCCACTTTCATCCTCGCTTTCCTCAGTTTCACCTCCTTTATAATCCGTATCATCCTTGCTCTCTCTTGCTTTTCCACCCTTCCTCTTCCATTTTGAAATTCCTTCTGCAACATTTACAGGCCTTCTCTTGGTATGTTTCATAACTGCCTTCTTTTTGGCAATCTGTTGCACTTGTTTTCCCTTTCCTTTCATCTTTTGACCTCTTTGTCTTGTACGTGAAGCAATACTTGTGGTTTTTTCACTTTCATCTGCTTCAAAATTACTATCATTGTCACTTTGTTTTTCCTTTACACCCTTTTTTTTGCTATTGAAGTGCCTTCGCCAGCATTTTTTTCCTTAATTGTTCTTCCCTTCTTCACTGCTATTTTTTTCCCTCCGCAGCCTTGGTATTTTTTGTTCTTTTTTCTACATCTGAAGCTCCATTTCCTTCTTTTCTTTGCTCATTTTCTTCAACTTCCACTCTAGGACCATCAATATTGAATCCTTCAATCAAATGAAGCTCCTGGTCAACTGGAACAATACCTGTCCATTCAAACTGACATAACACACCATATTAGTAATAATATGTTTTCTCAGACATCACAGAATATATAATATATATTATTAATATTTCATATACCTTGTCGTTGTAGAAAATTAGGTCACACAAAAGTTCCAGTTGAGGCTTCTTATGAAACTCCCACTTCAGTGTCCTTGGCATGATATTTTCTCTTCCTTCTATCACTTTACACAAACCTCCCTTTGACAAGCTTGGGAATGTTTCAAATGCCCATACTTGTAGTGCAATCATGCAACCTGGGAATGTCACTCTTTCCTTTTTGCAGTTGTGCTTCACAGCTTTGTTTCATATCAGTTATCAACTCATTCCACACAACTTCACCCCACGGGTAGTCTTTAAAAGCTTCTAAATCATCAACCACATTCAAATAATGTGACTCCATTGGTTTTGCTGTTTGATTTCCTAAGAACCCGTGTGAAAGTATATAAAGAAGTGCCAGCTTGACCCCATCATACCTCATACTTGATGGATCAGTACTCTTGTAATTATTAATTGCCTTTAAAATGTCACTCCTTGCAACTGTGGCCTTGCCTCCCAAATACCTATTCCAGATATCTCCCATATGCTCTTGTGCCACCACCGGTTTGTCCCCACTCAGTTTTAAACCAGTGACTATTGCCAAATCCTGCTTTGTGAAACTTATTACACTATTTCGGATATGGAATCGCATCACATTCTTGTCTTTCAACCCATTGACATACTGCACATAGTTTCCTACAAACCCAAGTTGTAGCTGTCCACTAACCCAATCCATGCTATCAAAATCTACAAGCCAACCAAAAACAGTTTCTTTGAAATCCTGCAACTCCTCTTTACTCAGAATATTCTTTACCCTTTCCATTACTTTGAACAGATTGTAGTAGCAATTGACACGCATGTCATCTAATGTTGCCAAAGTTGTCCTCTTGAAATACCTTGTTATTGTCTATTAAAAAAGAAATCAATTAAATTAACTGCTTATCATGTCACTGTGTATGTGTATATCATTCACCATCATGTCAGTTTTGTGATGAAATATAAAATAATGGCATTTAATTCTCATAACTTCCAATAAAATAGAATTACATCAAAACACAAAAAAAAATATTTCAGAAGTATCGTATGATATCAGTAGTATCCAAAACAAATTGTTACTAAGTTATTAAGTCAGTGTTGTCATTACAGATTACTTACATCAACACCATACACATATCTTTCAAATTTATCCAACTAAATCCATTTCAGTCAACATATTGTCATTTAGAGGCAACAGAATAACATATTAATGGCATTCGCATTCTTCATCAACCACAAACAAACCAACAAATTAGCATTTCTTAAAAACATCACATGAATTTCTTATTCTTCCATTGTCAATGCACTTTTACATAGTTGCTTATGGAAAACCTATAATACCATTACTAACTAAAGTAGACAGAGGACAAAGCAAAGTATAAATGCCTTTAATCCTTTGCTTTGTCCTAAATAAGTTTGTAGTTACGTCATTTTTCATCTTACTACCATTACAGGTTACTTACATCAACACCATACACATATCTTTCAAATTTATCCAACTAATTTTGTTTCAGACAACATATTGTCATTTAGAGGAAACAGAATAACATATTAATGGCATTCGCATTCTTCATCAACCACAAACAAACCAACAAATTAGCATTTCTTAAGAACATCACATGAATTTCTTATTCTTCCATTGTCAATGCACTTTTACATAGTTGCTTATAGAAAACCTATAATACCATTACTAACTAAAGTAGACATAGGATAAAGCAAAGTATAAATGCCTTTAATCCTTTGCTTTGTCCTAAATAATTTTGTAATTACGTCATTAATCATCTTACTGCCATTAGAGATTACTTACATGAACACCATACACATATCTTTCAAATTTATCCAACTAATTCTGTTTCAGTCAACATATTGTCATTTAGAGGAAACAGAATAACATATTTATGGCATTTGCATTCTTCATCAACCACAAACAGTCCAACAAATTAGCATTTTCTAACAACATCACATGAATTTTTAATTCTCGCATTGACAATTCACTTTTACATATTTGCTTATAGAAAACCTATAATGCGATTACAAAGTAAAGTAGACATAGGACCAAGCAAAGTATAAATGCCTTTAATCCTTTGCTTTGTTCTACGTAAGTTTGAAATTACGAAATTAAACACCTTACTGCCATTACAGATTACTTACATGAACACCATACACATATCTTTCAAATTTATCCAACTAATTCCGTTTTAGTCAACATATTGTCAATTACGATCAACATACATTACGAAAATGACATAATAGAAGCATTACATACCATTTTGGAGTTGATTCTAATGTCAAGCGAACTTGGCATTTCCGTTTGAAAGTCAGAATCGTCATTCATACTTTGGAAATCGGAATCATCAATCTCCATTGAAGCTTCACAGATAATCGCCTTCAAACTTTGATTCGCAGTAGCAGTTGCCGTTTGCCAAAATTCTCTCGCTCATGGAAGTAGTTTTTACTCTTTTTCAATGCTTGCCATCTTTGGAAACTTAACTTCCGGCTCGAGGTTTGGGTACCGAATATTTAGGAAACGCAAACGGCATTAAAGACGTTTCCTTACGCGCGTGGACATGGAGGTCAAATTTGGAAATTCGCATCTTTTTTAGTCCCACAAATATTTTAGTTAAGTTGGAGTCCTATTTTAGCAATTGAAGTCTTATTTGGTCTCATTTGGGTACTTTTCTCTTGTAGCTTTAGAACTGAGTATTCGTCCTCTTTGTTTAGCTGGACTGGTGTTAGGGATAACGGTAGGGTTTGGAGAAGGCTTGATATATTTCTGGTTAACCCTAAGCTTATTGATTGTTTTGATGTTATTCAGATCAATATTCTAGAAAGAACTCCTTCTGATCATTGTCCTATCCTCATTCAATGTAGAAAGGAGAACTTTCAGGACCCAAAATCTTTCAAGTTTCAAAACATCTTGTTAACTCACCTAACATTCATGGAGGTGGTAAAATCTAGTTGGAATAAAAATCTATTTGGGGGAGGCATGCGTGGACTGGTTTCTAAGCTTCAATGTCTTAAGCAGGGCATTAAAATCTGTGTTTGGTAATATTTTTTATGACATTAAAATTTGTGAGGAGAATGTTTCCCAGGCTGAAAAAGACTTTTTAGAAGACCCTAGTGAAGCTAAAAGAGAAGTTTGGTCTCACTCTCAAGCTCTTTTAAACGCTAAATATGTTCTTGAAAGGAAATATTGGAAACAGAAGGCTCATATCCACTGGTTGAAAGATGGTGATTCTAATTCCAAGTTTTTTTCATTCTTATGTGAAAGTCAAACACAAAAAGCAACAAATTAATTCCATCCATAATACAGCAGGAGTTCTGGTTAATAATTTACCTGAGATAGGTGAGGCTGCAGTTTCTTATTTCTCTGATCTTTAATCAGTTGAGGAGCAGGTTGAACCTGAGAGAATTCTGCAACATATTCCATTATTAGTCACTGAGGCAGATAATGATATGCTGATGCATCTTCCTGATGATATTGAAGTTAAAAAAAGCTATTTGGAGTTTAAACCAGAGTGGAGCCCCAGGCCCTGATGGTTTTAATGGTAAGTTCTTCAAAAAAATGTTGGGAGATTGTGGGCCCTGATGTTGCTAGAGCTGTGCAGGAGTTTTATATGGGCATCCTTATCCCTAAAGGTATGGCAAGCAGTCTTATTGCCTTAACTCCTAAAGTGGACAATCCAGAATCTTTTGCTGATTTTCATCCTATATGTCTCTCCAATTTTATTAACAAAATCTGCACTAAAGTAGTTACTACAAGGCTTGCTTGTATTCTCCCTAAACTTATCTCAATTGAGCAGTCTGGTTTTATGGTTAAGAGAAATATTACTGAGCAAGTTCTCATTGCCCAAGAAATGGTACTCTTTAGAGAAAAAATCAGAGGCTCCATTGTCATCATTAAACTTGACATGGCAAAAGCCTTTGATAGGCTTTCTTGGAAATTTCTGCAGGAAGTGCTTCAAAGGTTTGGTTTTGTAAGGCAATTCATTAACTTGGTGATTAATAATTTGGAAGCCACATATATCTCTATTTTGGTTAATGGTGTTCCTTTAGGTTTCTTTAAGCCTAAGAGAGGGGTTAAGCATGGTGACCCCTTATCCCCATACCTATTCATTCTAGCCTCAGAGGCTCTTTCTAAGGGTCTGAATTACCAAATGGATAGTGGTCTCATAAAGCCTTTCTGGATGGGGAATGTTGGTTTTCCTGTTTCCCATTTAGGCTATGTAGATGATATTTTGATTTTCATAAATGGTGAAGCAAGGTCTTTGAAATTTTTTACAGAATTTATAAAAGATTACCCGGCAGCCTCAGGTCAGGCTGTTATTTTGCAGAAAAGTTGCTTCATTGCTGGGAAGACTGCCAGATATAGAACTAGAAGTATGAAGCATATCCAGGGTATGAACTCTTCAAGTCTGCCTCTGAAATACCTGGGAGTCAAGCTGCATAAAGGGATAAACAGAGCTCAGTATTGTGATCACATTATTAGACAATTTGATTCTAAATTAACCCCCTGGAAGTGTAAAAACTTAACTCAGGGTGGTAGACTTATTTTGATTAAACATGTCTTAAGTGCTATTCCTCTACATATTCTTGCTGCAGACACTATGCCCAAAAAAGTTATATCTATTTTGGAAAAGAAAATGAGCAGTTTCTTTTGGGGTACTTCTATTAATAGGAAAAGTCATCATTGGTTGGTCTGGTCTAAGCTTTGTAAACCTATTGATGAAGGTGGTCTTGGTCTGAGATCACTATCTTCCTTGGAAAAGGCTTTCTCTATCAAAATGTGGTGGAAATGGATAATTGGGGACAATCTTTGGAACAAGTTCATTAATGCTAGATATCCCAGAGGCCTTAATATGTTCCCTAAAATCACTGATTCCCCCATCTGGAGAAGGATTTGTTCTATTCACCCTCTTGCTGTTTCTAATTGTGATATGGATCAGAATGATGGTATTATAAGGCAGCATGAAGATGATGGCTTATTTTCCCTTAGGACTGCCTATGAATTGGTCAGAGAGGATATGTCAGCTATGTTTTCTTTTAAGCATGTTTGGAATCCTAGACAAGCTTTGAAGATTAAACTGTTTCATTGGAAGGCTATTCATGGTATTTTGCCAACTTCTGATAAGTTGTTAAGGTTTAATATTGTTTTAAACCCATCTATTTGTCCCCTATGTAGAAAACATGAAGACTGTTTGAATCATCTTTTGTTTAGTTGTGAGGTGGTTAATCCCGTTTGGAATTATTTTATAGGTATCATGGGTGTTCCTAGAATTCAAAATTGCAGTTCTATCAGACAGGTTTACATGGTTTGGTGGCTCAGAGCTGGCTCTAAAACAGTACTGGATATATTTAAACATTGTTTGCATGGGATCATCTGTTGGTTTGTTTGGACAAATTATTCTAGCATCATGTGGGGAAATCAGAACATCAGGCCTACCACAGATAGTATTATTTTTCAGGTAAAGAATTACACGCAGGTGTGGGCTTCTGCTTTGTCTAGCCTTAAGGCTCGAGCTATTGGCGATGTCCTTTTTGAGGAAAATTTATTACCTAAAAACTTCAGGATCACTGGTACACAAATTAAGGCATACAGATGGAGTCGGCCTAAACAACATTTCAAATTAAATGTGGATGCCTCATTTTTACCTGGGAAATCTGGAGGTGGTGCGATTCTGCGGAATCCGGCTGGAGATCTGGTAGCGGCTGTTTCCACTACTAGAATTTTCTCTTTGCTGCTACCCAATTGTTGCGGTCGTTAGTAAAAACGCAGCAAATAGATCAAATTTATAAGTATTTGCTGCGGTTCTTTTAGAACCGCAGCAAATAGTTGGAAAAGTTGATACCTTTTGCTGCGGTCGTGTTAGAACCGCCGCAGCCGCAGATCCTCGTCAACAGCGCCGCAGCCGCAGATCCTCGTCAATGACGCCGCAGCCGCAGATCCTCGTCAACGACGCCGCAGCCGCAAATCCTCGTCAATGTCGCCGCAGCCGCAGATCCTCGTCAACGCCGCCGCTGCAGATCCTTGCGACCCATTTTCGCCAACCGTCTGCTGCCGCACCGGTGTTTCTCTGCGGAACTAAGATTTCTTCTGTCTCTCTATGCCTCGTCGATGAAGACTTTAGCCTTTGTGTTAGGATCTTTAGAGATTGAACTCCTATTTTGTTTCAAGCTCTATTCATGATTTGTTTAAATGTTGATAAGAAATGTGATATGACTGCTGTTCTTGTACAATTGTGAAACATAGTTCACGTTTCTCGTAATGCATTAAAAATTTGCGGTTCTACCATTATCTGTGTTTCTTAGATTCCTCAACGTATTAATTCTGAAAGTGTAATAGTTGCTGGAGATCAACGGTATGCTATAAACAATTTGCTTGAGATTCAGCTACCAATACTGACATACTCTTAAAAAAAGCTACCAATACTAACATTTCATTAAGCTGCAGAAACTCTTGGTCTTTCTGGAGAATGTATATGTTTCTCAATTCTCATTGATCCGCTATCATTCAATCTGAAGGTATGAAGAGGACACGTGGATAGAGGTTGCAAGTATTTGGATGGGAAGTCGTTGATATTTCTTATTTGCAGCAACTTGTAAGTGGTTCCAACATGTCATCATGAGTGAGTGTCTGAAGCACGCTTTTTTGTGTGACCTTGAGGTTTCTGATCCTGGAAAAGTGGGTTGCAAATGGATCAAGCTATACGCTACAACCTTCGGTTACTAATTACTTTCACTTAACACTTCCTAATAATCTATGCACTGACAATGAAATCATTTTTTTTTCAATCTGATGAATTGTTCAAATATTGGTAGATTTTTTTGATATTTTTTTCAGTTGCATTCAGGTACAACTGGAACCTACTTCTAAGTGGGCATTGCTCGCCTTGAACGTACTTCATCATCTTGTACATTTGTATTCTAATTTGGAAGTTCTGTTTTTTTTTTTCTTTCATTTTGGTCCGTTTTAAATACCAATGTATTATTATCAGTTTAGATGTTCAATTTTTGTAGGCTGTTTGAGGCTCGCAGTAAAAATCATGATGATTTGGAAAGTGGCAAACTATAGAATGACAGATCGAGAAAGGTTAGTCCAAAAAAAGTAGGATTATCATGCTACGTGATAGGTGAAAATTTAAGATTCTTATTGAATATCTTTTATATGATTATAGGGAGACCAAGTTGAAGAATTTCAGCCGCTTTGTGAAGTTGAGAGTGACAAGGGTACCATAAAAATAACAAGTGGTTACAAGGGCTAGCTATTGTTGATAGATACCACATATAATTTTTATGTGTGTATACCTTCTATCTACGTCGAGAAGCAATGGAGGATGCCGGTGAATTTTGCTACAACCCTCTTGATTTTGAAGAGGATAAAAGAGATGAATTATATGAAATTCATGAAGTGTTAGACAAATATGTATGATATTTATTGTAAACTTTTAGTGAATAAATTTACACCGTATTTATTGTACGGAGTATAATTTAAGTATTTTTGGAATGGTGATTTTGAGTTGTTCGAATAAAAATTGAGATTGTAGAAACGATTGCTTTTTTATTTTGTAAACATTGTGAGTATTATCATTATCATTAAAAAAATATGAGTATTATTACAAAACAAAAACAATATACTAATATTTAAAAGAGTATTTGTTGCGGTTCGAAAAGAGTATTTGCTGCGGTTCTGAACCGCAACAATAAGTTAAAATTCATTTTTTTAAATAGCTATTTGCTGCGGTTCTTAACCGCAACAAATAAGTCTTCCTACTATTTGCTGCCCTGCCAATTGCTGCGGTTCAGAACCGCATCAAATAGGTAAAAATAACCGCAGCAAATAGCTTTTATTCTAGTAGTGTTCGTTCCTGACGGTTGCTTCTTCTAGCTTAGAGGTGGAGGTTATGGCGGTGGTGTATGTTACCCGTTGGGCGTTTGAAGCTGGTTTTACTGACTTTGAGGTGGAGACGGATGCTGAAAAGGTTATCCTTTTGCTTCAGGTAGGAGGAGGCCGATGGAATGCTCTGCTTTCGGATGAGACAACTCGAAATTAGGAAAGGGGTTACTTTAATTTCGGGCAAGCTTGGCGTGAATGTAACCGGGTCGCTCACTTTTTGGCCCACTCTGCCTCGGCCCATATGGATACTTATTATCAGCCTAAAGATCTTCCTAATCAGGCCCGAAATGCATACTTCAGAGATTTATTTGGTTTTCCTTCATTTAGATGTTTTTATTAATTTTCTGGGTGGAATGCCACTCGTGCTTTATTTTTCCTTCTTTGTCTTTCTGAGAGAGGTTTTGTTCTGGTCCCCCTCTCTTCCTTGTAGTCCTGCATTGATTTCTAATAAAACTCTGGCATCTGACTAAAAAAAACTAAGTTATTGTTTAGTGTTCATGTCATTTATTTCCTTGTCGACATGCCCTTTCGCATCATCTTCTTCACCCCAGCATCTAGCTTCGTTACGCTCTCTTGTAATGGTGGGTAGACTTCGATTTAGACACTCAACGGCTATAGGCCTACCGGTTATAACCAATTTGCTTCAAATGTTGAAACAATTTTCCACTTCTTTTGGTCACACTCATGTGAGTTCTTTTCTCTATTTGAATGAATTACATGTCCTCTTAATTTTTGAATTACTATCTTCAATATGCTTACTCCAATGTAATTCTTTATTTTGCGTACTCATTATTTCATACTTTTTTTCAAGCTAGAATGTTTTTGGGTTCCAACTCATTGTATATTGAATTCTGTCACCTCCTGACTAATTTTTTGCTAGGCCACGTTTGTTTCCAAAACTGTTCGTTGAAGTTTCTTTAATAGCTTAAACTTGATTATGAGTTCTTTCAATTTTGTAGTTTTTCCCTTTATATTCACGCCGTCTATGTGTTTGCTTAAATGTTCACTTGAAAATATTGGAATTCCGGAAAAAAGCACAAAAACTATGTAATTTTTTGCTCTACAAATTTAATTTAGTGTAAAAAAAACATATCACTTATACAAACCGAAGCTATGTGAGTTAAAAATGGTTGTTTCTTAATCTTTAAGAGCCCATCTTGAAAATTAAAATAAAATTTCAATTGTTTGGTATGAAATTTATGTTGTGTAAACACTTGTTTTTAGTTTAGTGCTTGTTTGGAAAAACATAAAAAATCTGGTATTTTTAGTTTTAGTCTTTTAGGATGCTAGTTTAAGCCGTCATGCAATTAATTTTAGTATTTAATAATTTTATATTTTGTATTGTAACTATACAAATACACGTTATCACGGGGAAAATGTTTTCCTTTTTGCTTTTAAACTATTGTTGATCTCGTATGCATTTAATTCATTCATTCAATTGATCAATTCGTGTTTTATTTTTTATAAAATACGAAGAATATACGTATTGTATGGGAAGTGTGATTTTTTTTCCTATTTAAACGGACGTACAATATTTTTTGTATACAACACCTTTTGTATTCAAAAAATGATATGTGTTTAAGGGAGTGTTTGAATCTGATTCTTAAAACTGCTTCTGCTCCCTGAAGGAGCAGAAGCAGAAGCTCAAGTGTTTGAGTGATAGTGTAGACGTGATTTTGCTGCTCAAATTTATTTCTAGAATCAGTTTTTTCAGAAGTTGGGGGTGACTAGCTTCTGAAAATTGAGAGCACGTTTGGTAACACGAAAATTGGTTGATTTGGTTGATTCTGCTAAAATTTAAGAGTTCTGGCTGAAGTGGCTGCATTATTTTTAAAATATATTTTATTAATAAAATAAATAAAAAGTTATATGTAAAAATAGCTAAAATGATCGTCTACAGTAACTTCAGCCAATACGGTCAGAAAAGTAACTTCAACCTTACTTTTTCTGCTTATCACACAATTCAGCGTGCGAAATAAAAAATTACATGTTTGATGAAAAAGTTGATTGATAAACCCGATAAGCCGAAAAACAATAGTCCAAACGGCCTTTTAAAAAGAAGCAGAAGCATTTCCAAACACCTGAGTAGGGCTGGAAGGTAAAAAAGAAACCTTTAAGAACTGATACGAAATATGCCGAACAAACTACTCCTTATGATAGAAGTCATAGAACAGCGTGGAAGGCGGGGTTAGCAAGCCGGTAATGTAAAGGTAGCAGCCGCTGCGCAATTATGAATTAAACAAATGTGTTTTTGAGATCTTCATTTTTATGCAACGAAAGAGATTAATAGGGAGCTAATGCCAAATTAACAACTACCTACATAATGAAAGAAAACAATAAATCATATTTCACCTTCCAGCCTTCCACCAGTTTACCAAGTCGAGAGCTCCGAGAGTTAAAGACCCAATTTTAACCCCCACCTCCCCAGCTAGGGTTTTTAGCACACTGCAATTCTTCTTTGTGTGCACTTTTCAAGCTTCATCCACCAGTAGAGCTCAAGGTTGTCATTTTCTGGATTCATTGCCTGATTTCAAACTTCTCCGCACTAGCAGAGCTCAAAGTTGTCATTTTTCTTGATTCATTTCCTGCCAATTTGTATGAACCTTGATTTTGACTAATGGAAGTTTTTTGTCAAGATAATTACAGTAATATCCAAATTTTATTTCAGTTTTTTGCTCTCTTCATGTGTGAATTGAGGGGTTGCTGTCAACTATGATTGTTGGTTGTATGAGCTTTGGGAGTTTTATTATGTTGGAAAACGTATCTTGATGTGAAAGCTCAGTTTAATGATTGCACCACTAACACCTGTCTCATGGAAAGTGATACTGCAGAACTCAACTAAAAGGATGCATCTTTCCTCTTTATATTTATTGTTCTGAGTATATTGAGATACTGATAAGAGCTGCGAATGTTTCTTGCTTTCTTGATCCACATTGGTAGCATTTTTTAATTACTCCTCATTTCTGCTCTATTAAGCCGGGGTTAGTCCGGCCTCTACCACCAATAGGTCATCTTATGGTTTATAGAACAGTGGTTTTTTAACTGGGACAGGGTCACATGGATATAATTCACAACGGAGAAGCTTGTCTAATCCAAAACCTTATGAACTCGTTTTCCCTCTTAAATCTTGTTATGTACGTAGTGTGATTCATAACAACTCATTGGTAACTAACTCACGCCTTTTTTTCCTTTTTTTCTTTTGTGTATTAGGAATGCCATGGCAAACAAAGCAACCCCGGGTGAGAGCAGAACAAGGACATCCGTGTCAATTTTGATAGTATCCGGTCTCTGTTGTTTCTTCTATCTATTGGGAGTCTGGCAAAGAAGTGGGGTTGGAAAGGGAGACAGTATAGCATTGGAGGTGACTAAAACCAGTCAAGCTTGTAACATCCTGCCTAGCCTCAATTTTGAGACCCACCATGGTAGTCTACCTGGCAACATCCATGTCTCCGAATCAAATGTGAAAGAGTTCAAGCCATGTCATCCTCGCTACACTGATTACACACCCTGTCAAGATCAAAAGCGGGCCATGACTTACCCTAGGGACAACATGGTCTACCGAGAAAGACACTGCCCTCCTCAAGAAAAGAAGTTGCGTTGCCTTGTCCCTGCTCCTAAAGGGTATGTAACTCCATTCCCGTGGCCGAAGAGTAGGGATTATGTCCCTTATGCAAATGCACCTTACAAGAGCTTGACAGTGGAGAAGGCCATTCAGAACTGGATTCAGTATGAAGGGGACGTTTTCAGGTTCCCAGGAGGTGGGACCCAATTTCCTCAAGGAGCAGATAAGTACATTGATCAGATTGCTTCGGTTATCCCAATTAAAGATGGCACTGTTCGTACTGCATTGGATACTGGTTGTGGGGTATGTTTATTCATTCCTCTTTATTATGAGTAGGTTTGTCACAACTAGGTGAAAAGATACTTTTGTAAGCTTTTTAGTAACAGTTGGCTTTCTGTGAATGTAAAGACCTTAAAAGAAAAAGTTCATAGCTATTTGATAAAAGCTGATTGTTTAATGTTGTTCTGTTTGGTATAACAAGTTGTTATGAATAATTAATGCTAAAATGTATAGGCTTTCTCTCAGAAGCTACTCAGTGTACCTTGTCAAAAAAAACCTTCAATTATTTTTTAAAACAAACTAAAAGTTTGTTCTGCCAAAGTGGCCAAACATATCATTTCATTTTCATTTACCCCAGTGCCGCAAAGGCTCCCACCTATGGTGGGGTAAGGGGGTCGGATGTACGCAGTCTTACCCCTGTACTAAAGCATAGAGAGACTGTTTCCGGATGACCCATAGTGAAAATTGCGTCCAAAAATGCATGGACTGGCTGCTGCTTCATAACAAAGAAGCGCAGACAGTTTAGTGAGCCATTTTGCTTTATTCCATCATATTCTCGAGCCAAAAAATAATGAATCTTTGGCTCCATTGCAAATGATGGAAATGTTCTGCCAAACATATAATTAGGAATATTTAAAAGGTAGGGACTTATGCCTACCAAACATGCACTAGATCTTACATTTAGTATGAATTGTGTTAAGTGGGGGTTGGATCAGATTGGACCAATAAATAGATTTAAATCATTTCAGGACAAAAACAGAATGACACTAGATCAGGGTATTAACTGTAAAATTAAAGATTCAATCCTCTTTATTTATGTTTTTTTTTTTAATTCCCGGAGCAAACCACACCAGGTGGGGGAGTGCCGGGGGACACTTCCCAATTTTATTCATAAAAGAATGAAAGACAAGCTAAGCAAGTACAAAACAAAGTTGAAGCTACTGGGACTCGAACCCACGCCATGCATCTGAAAGTCTATACCTCTTGGTTCTTTATTTATGTATTGTGGTACTCTTAACAAATTATGCATTTGTAACTACACATTAATATTGTTGAAAGTCTAATTCTAATTCCTCTTGGTTCTTTTTTCCTCTGGACATTTCTGACCTTGCCTTTTCATTATCGATTAAATATGATAGGTTGCGAGTTGGGGTGCTTATCTTTGGAAGAGAAATGTTATAACTATGTCCTTTGCTCCAAGAGACTCACATGAAGCTCAGGTTCAGTTTGCCCTTGAAAGAGGTGTGCCTGCTGTTATAGGGGTACTTGGAACAATCAAAATGCCATATCCATCCCGTGCATTCGACATGGCTCACTGTTCCCGCTGTTTAATTCCCTGGGGCGCTGGAGGTAATAATTTATTAAATTGGACCCAACTCTTTCCTAAAGGATCTTTAAGGATTGAGGTTTAGCTCACACTCATTTACAAGGTTTAAGCCTAATAGAAAACTGATGTAGGATGATACTTAACCTGAAGAATTTAAACCGAAAAGATCGGTAACACTGAAGTAAGACACAAACTTATGTTAAAATATAGAATTAATAATAGATTATTGCAACCTTGCTTCTGTTAAAGTATAGAATAAATTATAGATTATTGTAACCTTAGGATGTTTTTAATTGGACTGTAATTTTCTGGTCTGCTCTACTTAGATAGATGTATGTCCGATGTGTATTTTACAATTGTCAAAGTCTAATCTGGTTTGTTCTTATATGGTCCGGTCTATTTAAGTCTTGTGTTATCTGTTTAAGTCTGGCGTGGGACTGAAACCGGTCCAATTAAAACATCCTTAGTTTTGCTAGTGTTATGGTTTTCCCTTTTCATGAGGTTCATGTTTAAATTTCATATATGAGTTGAGTTTTGACTTTTGACTGATTGTTTCTCCATCACTAGGTGGAATCCTAATGATGGAAGTGGATAGAGTTCTTAGGCCCGGGGGCTATTGGGTTCTTTCTGGCCCACCTATCCATTGGAAGACTAACTACAAAGCCTGGCAACGTCCAAAGAAAGAACTCCAAGAGGAGCAAAGAAAAATTGAAGAAATTGCTAAGCATCTCTGTTGGGAGAAGAAATCTGAGAAGGGTGAAATTGCAATCTGGCAGAAGAAAACGGATGTTGACTCATGTCAAGCTGCTCAAAAGAAGGCTGGAGTTGCATTTTGTCAATCTACAGATCCAGATGATGTCTGGTATGTCAATCTAAGGCTCTCATTGGCAGAGAGTTCTGGCTTACTCAGCTTCTTGTTACATTTATTAACAGAATAAGCAGCTTTTGGTTAAAATTGTTGTTACCGAACATATTTAAAAAAAAACAGAAAGTGTTTCTCATTCCAGTCAAATAACTCTTACCTAACTAGCATTTAATTGTTTCCATCATGTGTTCTTATGCATTCACCTTTGACAGTTGTGCTATACAGCCTATACTCCTTGCATGTTTATCATCTTGTAAAATCAAGAACAGGCGTTTGGTTTCAATAGAATGGTCTACACCAACTACACGTTAAGAGTCTCCCAAGAAATACACCCTCTGCCCCCCCAATCAAGTTCCAAGGTTGACCTATATACATACATATGTGTGTGTGTGCAAGATAAATTTTTGTTATCACTTTTGAAGTATACCCAGACTAACTTAAAAAGAGGCCAAAAATTAAGGGTAATAATGACATTTGTCTAATAAACTTTCTTTTTGAGTAAATGAGAAGTTGAGTACTTCATTACTTCATTATGACATTCAAACAAGGAAAGTTTAACTTCATTTCAGGACGTAGGCAGTATGAAAAAGGGACATAAGAGTATAACTTTTAATGAACTCTATCAATTCATCTTTAATATTTCGATGTGAGACTTTTTTTGCACTGCTGAAAGTAATTGGATGGATTTTGTCTTCACCCCTAGCACAACCAATCACGAATTCATTTTCCGTGGAATTGGTTTATTTTCCTAGGAAAATAATAATTTGTATTTTTATTCCATGAATATCTTATTAGGTATAAGAAAATGGAGGCATGCATAACTCCATCTCCCAAGACTAAGATTGATGAGAGTCTCAAACGATTCCCAGAGAGGCTTAACAGTGCCCCCCCTAGAATTGCTAGTGGGTTGGTCACGGGAATGTCAGTTCAGGCATATCTGGAAGACAACAAGAAGTGGAAAAAGCATGTTAATGCTTACAAAAGAGTGAACAAAATGATCGTCTCTGGAAGGTATCGCAACATTATGGATATGAATGCAGGATTAGGAGGTTTTGCTGCCCAACTCACATCTCCCAGGCAATGGGTTATGAATGTCATTCCAACAATTGCTGAGAGAAATACTTTGGGCGTTATATATGAACGAGGGATGATTGGCATATACCATGACTGGTGAGTCTCTATGTCCCTCTTTCTATTCTCTTATATCTTGACATCTGACAGTTAGATGTAACACCAACCCAAGCCCTCCAAGTAGTCTTGGTCCTGGTCTGTTTCTGATTCCAGGTCATTTTATGGGTGGAAACCAGTTCTTGGGTCAGTTTAGGTCCAGTTATTTAGTCAGTTCCAGACTGGTATTTTAGCATTTTTATAAAATGGAAATGTAGGAACCAGAATTTGTTTGGGCCAGCGTCCTGTAATGCTTTTCTGGTCCAAAACAGGAAATTGGAAATCCGGCCCGTCTAAAAAAAATGGCCAATCTGGAACTTGGGCGAAGTTTGTCTTTACCCCAGACACCTAACACTGTTCATCTCAACCATTTATGACCATAATAGAAAGTAAAGCTAGTTGTGAAAGTGGGTTTAGTGTCTAGAACTTTCAGATGAAGCACAACTATGCATTTTATGTTTTGTTTTCAAACTAACGGGTTATTTGGTACACGTGAATAAAGTTTCTCCTCATCAATTGAAATCCTGATGTTTGGTACAAAGTAAATTTTTTTCCCTAAACAAAAGGAGTGGAACCGCATGTATAACTACTACGTAGTATTTCACTCTTTGCATTTAACACTGGAATTTCAACTCAAAATAAGTTCAGTTCCCAGTAACCAAACAATAGAATTTTGGGGTTTTTACAAGAATATTACTAAAATAAAACATATTTACATAAATATGACTATTCATTACTACAATGTGGTGTTGTGGTAACTTAAGCTCAAAACTTGAACATGAATTACTATGATTTCATTACTACTCTAGTCACTAGTCATATTTTTATCCCTTATTTATTGTTTTCACGAAAAACTTTGCCAAGCGTGACACACGGAAACGGAATAAGAATGTAAAAACTGTGTTATTGAATTGTGTGCATAGGAGAGAATAATAACATTATCCAAAAATTAGTTATTTTAAAGGGAAAGTGACCGTTTTTGGGACAACCAAATAAGGAAGTTGGCGAAGTTTAGTGGACGAAGGTAGTATGAAAAGTGAAAAAAAGAGTTTCGAGTTAAAGTGCAAAAAGAAAAATGAAATGTCAAAAACCAAAATAAATAAAGTTAAACTCAACTCACGTAAGGTATTAAAGCTTCGATGAAAAGCTATTTAGCTCAGCAGTTTTGTGACACCACAACAATGCCCACAGGATGCCAAGGGGCCCTATAAATAAGGGATCAATTTACTTCTAATTTTATTAGTACTTGAAAAAGATAAGGCTCTGTTTGCTCATAGTTTCCTTTTGATTCAGGTGTGAAGCCTTCTCTACATACCCGAGGACTTACGATCTCCTTCATGCTAATGACGTTTTTAGCTTGTACAAGGAAAAGTATGCATTCTTTCCCTCTCCGCCTGTCCCAAAAAAGAAGTCTCATTTTTGTAATAAGAAAGGGCTAGATGGTTTTTGAAGACATTTTTATACACTGGAAGTTCTTGATTATACGTTTACATTTGAGTATACCATAATTACAGGTGTGATTTTGAAGACATTCTGCTGGAAATGGACAGAATATCAAGGCCAGAGGGTGCAGTCATTTTCAGGGACCAAGTGGATATGCTGAACAAGGTGAAGAAGATCATACTAGGGATGAGATGGGAATACAGACTAATCGACCATGAAGACGGCCCCCTTGTTCCTGAGAAAATACTTGTTGCAGTCAAACGGTACTGGACTTTGAATGACAATAGTTCCACATCAGCACATTGAAATTATTTTGACGACTGCCTGATGCGATCAATGGTGCTTATTGCGTGCCTGAAACCATGCCAATGCTATTTTAGTACAAGAAATCATTGACCCATTGTAGCGGTTGAATTGCTTTGGGAGGTCTGTATCCTTGACATATGGTTTATTTTTGCAGAAAGCCAGAAACTATAGATAATAAATGTAGCCCTGTAACATCTTCATGCTTCAAGAGGACGCTTGGTACATTCTTTTAGACTGAATAGAACCTAACTGGTGTAATTCACTTCCATAAAGAATCTAACCCCCTTGGAGGAGTTACTTAATAACGAAAAGAACATCTGAAGAGTAGATCGGATACAAATTGCATTGCTTCGCAGGTAAGAATGTGAATGTATTTTTTGTTAACTAGTTTTGCAGCGAGGCATTGCCCCTGGTGCAACTCCTATATGAAAAATTTATTTATTTTATATATTATGTGTACATGTATAATATCTCATTCATATGAATTTTGTAATTCCCATTACCAAAAGCATTGAAATATCTATTAATAGGATATAATAATAATAATAATAATAAATAATAACTCAGAGATATAAAAAATTCCAGAGACTTTCTAAATTTTCGAAAGCCTCCCTACAAAATGATATTGGTGGAAAGTCTCCCTACAAAATTTTCAAAAACCTCCCTAAATTATGGTATTGGTGGAAAATCCTCAATCTTTAGAGCGAATTGAAATCTTCAATTCATCTTTGCTCTTGACCCTTGATATGGCAACATACAATTGTCCATGGATGGAGACATTTTTTAGACGATAAACAAATCAAAGAATAATATGTACAAATATGGAAAAATGCCCATATATGAATTACTCCGGGGGGGGGAGGGAGCTTCGGAACTTCGGAAGGGGAGAAAACCATTTCAAGCCAACCAATCACCCAAACAAAGGAAGCCATTTTCTGGTAACAAAATTAGGGAAGAAAATAATCATCTTTAACCAACAAACGTCTAAAAAGTTCGTTTGCTTTGCTACGTAACCATCTACAGATGAATGAAGCAAACACATCACATATGAATATTTGCAAACTAAAACCATTTATTAAACACGAATACTTGTTTTTTTTCTTGTTTTCTTGTTGTGTTATGCTAAAGCAACTCATTATACAACATATGCGAACACATAGATATGTACAAATAATGTCACTAAACATTGAACAAATAAAAAGCACAAAATTGTGTGGCCACACAAAATCTGTAACTAGAAAAAGAATACAGAGCAATAAATGTAACAACCAAATTCAGTCAATTCTCCTTGCAATCCTTGCTAGTAGTAGGAGGCCTAGCTTCAAAACCCCCACCCTCCCTTTGCTCTATCGTGTACGGCATGTAGGTCCCGAGTAATCTGTCCCAGGTCACAAAGAACGGCTGGGAGTAATTATACTTTGTCCCAAAAAGCTGGTGATGAATGTCGTGGTAAGCAGAGTTGTTGTTGAAAAAGATGTGGAAAAGATTCCCCGGCAACCACAGCCCACAGTGGTCGTCGACAGTCTTGATGGTGGCAAAAGAGAAGAAAAAGGTCGAGGTGCGTGGGGACATGCCTGAGGCGAGGAAGGCCAAAGCGCCGCCAATAGTGTCAAGGATCAGGCCCTCGAGCGGGTGGTTGTACAGAGCCCCGAAAGCATAGGGGACCACGAGACGGTGGTGTTGGGAGTGAATGTGTTTGTAGAGGAACTTGTTTTGATGCATGTACCTGTGCATGAAGTATTGCCATGTGTCTAATACTGCCATTGCGATAATAAATTGGCGGGCAAGAACAAGGAGTGATGTCTGCTGCTCTGTAGCTTCCACACTGTCACTGCCCGTCACCTGCTTCATTTATTGTTTCATTAGATAAACAAATCCATGCAGATGCTTATGTTGTAGGAATCAATTATTGTTTGTTTTGTAGCTAGAACCAAGCCAAGATTACTCACTTCAAGTACAACAAGAATCATTTGTGTAGTAGAGAACTCAGCCATATTAAGCCCTTTTAGATGTTTATCTAACTTTTCATCAGTGAATCATATCACAAGACATTTGAGCATAAGTATGTATTCCGCATCAGAAACACGACAAAGTTACTGAAACGTATTTTTATTCTTAATTGAGAGCAATACTAGGGTCGAATGGAATTTAAGTTAGCCTCTGACGTGCTCAAAAGGCCCAACTAAAGAATGAGAGGTTTGAATTGGTCACAAACAATGATGAAGAGCTTAAAAAATATTTTGATGTTATAAAGCAAATGAATCCCAATACAATGATAGACTCAAAACATCAATTGAGCGAAACATTATACAAAGGAAATAATTTACCAGTAAAGCAATGTGGAATGAGAATTGCAAAAATCATAGCATCCAAATGAAATTTCGCCAATGATAGTGATTCAAAATGTACTATTTCAAGAAGTTGCACGTATTATTCGGTTATTCCTCAACAGTCTATTTACATGGATGAACATGGGCTATTCAATGGAATAAAATGGAACGAGTCGGGAGTTATGTTGTTAAGAAAGGATTGGAATACAGAAATGAGATTCTCTGACAAATCATATTGGGGTGTAACTTGTAAGAATGGTTACTTTCCCTCCCTACCCCCAAATATGAGTACATATTTTCAATTCCTTCCACTTTGCTTCCATTAATAAAACGCCACTCACTTTCATTTATTACCTTTACTTACGTCAATCCAAACACGCCATAAGGGCATTGGAGGGGAAGGTTTTGGAGGGTCAGATCTATTTCTCGATAATTACTTAAGATTTTATACAAATTGAAACAAACAACCTAATAGATTATCATATAACATATAAATCACCTTTTAATCATTTTTGAAAACATTCTATTTATCAAGATAAATAACCTAATATCTGTCCTTTCCGAAAAATATGAGCTTTTGTTTCAGATCAATTGATGTTTTGAATCTATCCTTTCCGAAAAATATGAGCTTTTGTTTCAGATCAATTGATGTTTTGAATCTATCCTTTCCGAAAAATACAAGTTTTTTTTCTTCCAACCGGAAGATAAATAAGGCTTTCCTAAGTCAATTGTCACAGACATAAACTGATCAAAAACGAGCTTTTGATTCAGATCTATAAACATTATCGCATCTAAATGTTTTCCAAATACACGTGTACAACCAAAATGACTTAACACCACAGTTCACATGTAATCAGTCATGAGATCAATCCTTTCATGCTTGATGAGTTGCTGCATAAGAATTTAACTGCATTTGGGTTCATAGTTCAAACATGGTTGCTAGTTGATACAAGGTCCACCCCTGGACCAATTGCAACATAAAATACCAAACCAAACTAACACTATTAGTGAAAACTGAATAGAGGCAAAACAACGACCATATAGATATCCTGCTATTTCAGTCCATTTTGAGAAAACTCTTGAAGAAACATGGAAACTTTATAGGCATAGACTTTTTATTCTTAAGATGATAAGATTGTATTACTAATGGAAAACATTAAATTCAAAACCAACACACCCTAGAGATAACAAAACAAAACGAATCAAGAATAAACCTTAAATTCTTCTCCTCTGACAGAACACCAAATTGGCACGCACATTTATCACATAAAGGACAAGGTTATGGTTAATCGTTGTTATAACGAATCACATACAATCCTAGCTTGCTTGCTTTGATTAAATATGACTAAAACCCAAAACTGCTGCCTGATTAATAATTTCACACATGAGCTTAAAGAAGCTTTGCCAAACAGTTAAAGGTCAGAGTTAGCCAATTGGGTAGTGCAAAACATACCGCAAAGAGGATGGTGGCAACGAAAGCTTGCACGGCCTGCTGGAGGAGGACACCTTTGACGACATCTTTCTTGGAGACCAAATTCTTCTGGTCTTCATCCTTCTTAGAATGCAGCCTGTAATTCTCCCATCCTCCGAGCATCAGATATAGACCTGAATACAACCAATACACCACTATGGGCACGAACGTACCCAACAATTCATCGGACACAAACCCTCCATCCTGCTTCATCTCCACCGCCTCTCCCCTTTCTCCTCCCGGCGATTCAAATCTACGCGGAGAGTTGAAGCGGATAAATCGGTGCTAGCCTGCTAGGGTTTCGGGAAGGACAGATATCTGTCTTCCGGTTGGAAGAAAAAACAGAAGCGCTTGCCCGCCCGACCGCCCGCCGGCCGCAGAGAAATCAACCCAATTCAGGAAGAGAGGAGTTGGAATCGCTGTTGGCGTGAGGAGGAATACGCGTCTTCACTTTGACCGTCCGAGTTTGAGTTGAACTTGCCTGCTGGCAGCTAACCTAATTGGCTATGGAATCTGTCCCACGTTCTACCAACATTCAATAATCAATAATATACTCTGTACTTTCTTATTATTGTGTGATGTTAATTTTGTACAATTGGTGAAACACGTTTAAGGATTGGTTTGACACTAATTTAAAAAAAAAAACACTTTTCAGCTTTTGGCTTTTAAAAAGCACTTATTATCCTGAACACTACAACTTTTATTTTTCTTGACTTCCGTGACAAAAGTGTTTTTACTTTTTCTATTACACAAAAAACACTTATTTTACCAAACACTATCCACTTTTACTTTTCAAAATCATTTTTTTCTCAAACACTATCAACTTTTATTTAATCACTTCTCACCATTTCATTAAACAAATCACTTTTTTAAAAACAGAAAGTGTTACAAACAGACCCTAACTCTGTGATAACTTTCAACCTTTTTTATGATGAAAGGTTAATAATATAAATGCAGAAATTAAATACTCCCCCCGTCCCAAAATTATCTTCATAGGTACTATTCACATGGTCAAATCAAATTACTCTTAATCTTTTACTTTATATATCAAATTTTTGTCAAACTTAAATTTTCTTGATCAGGCTTTGTAGCGGTTTTAATGTAGTTTCTGAATATGTAAATTTTATTTACTAAAAATAATCCGAGTGTGAACAGGGATCGAGTTGCTTTATCGTCAGTCAAACATCGTAAACCGAACTATGAAGATAAATATGGGACGGAGGTAGTACATTGTATTAAAGGGGCATACCCCTTTTCAGCTTACGCAAAACAGGCCTTTGCTCAGCAAACAACACCCACAATCACTCAAAATGTGACATTAAGATAACCTCCCAGAATAAGGACAAAAAATGTATCATATCAATGGGGTATATCTTGAATAACACTCGATAGACAAGAAATTTAATTTGTTCGAACACTCCTTGGATGGTAGCTGTTTTATGGGCAAATATGACTTCATTCCTAGCTTTCCAAATAGAATAAACGGTACAACCAAAAGATAGTCTGATCGCCTTGCTCTTCAATCTTGTACCCCTGTATTGCTTAATACACATCTTGACAATACTAAGAAGTGTGGAAGGATTTTTCTTGACATTCAGCCATTTTTAACCCCCTCCATATTG